CATCAGCGAAGCTCATGCAGTCTCACGAGCACGCGCAGCCCATCAATCAATCCTCGCCCTTTCCAAAGCCAAGTCCCTGGCGACCTGAAAAACAAAATGAAGTTCCGGCTTGTTTCGGACCCCGCTCACTACTCGTGCAACTCTTCTGCTGCGGAGGTTCACTTGTTGAGACAAACGGTTTTGTCTGCATTGCTGCCTCTGATGCGCTTTCGGCGAGTATGCTACAGCATCGACAGGTCTCTGACGGCTCTTATGCTAGTTCTTTGACGTAGCGGTACCCGGCGCCGAAGCAATGACATCAGCCCTTGCATGTTCCATTTTCATTAATGTAAGCAGCATCTGGCCTGGATGGATCAGCGCGAGCAAAAGCAAAACAGCCTGCACCCTTTGCTCCATGTGCGCACTCGCTGGTTGAGCCATCAGATGCACGACATCGCTGAGAAATCCTCTGCTGCACTGAGGTGCCTTGACACATGCCGATTCCTTCTCCAAGCTTAAGCAACGTGATGTGACTGTGTTGAGCTCTATTTTCGACGCCGAAACAGGTCACATGTGGGTTTGACCTGAAACAACGCGACTAGCAAAGAGTTGGTGAAACAGTCACTCAAACACACAAACACACACACACACACACCAAAGAGATGTCAAGTGATGAGGGCCGGAAGCCACCTTGGGTGTCTTCCGAGTCTTGAGCATCACGGCAAAGCGACATAAGGTAGAAGACAGGATACCTGTTGTTCGCCTACATGCATAAGCTGCTCTGCCGCTTATGCCAGGATCTCGTTGACGTCACGTTGAAATCCCTTCACATGCTGGCGCAAGCGCTCGTTCTCCTGGCATAACTTTGGCGAAAGTCGAAATCAAAGTCACGAGGGAATCAGCCCCCCCTGTTATTATCCGCTACCCTTGGCAAAGCATGGCATTTGTCCCAACAAGCGCGGAACAGAACGTCTACCATCAATCAGACTCTGGCAGCTTTGAAGTCAATTCTTTCACAAAGGCGGCACTAACGATTAGTGACGACCGTTCCGAGGTGTGAAAAAGTCCAGACCCACCATCGTCGGTCGCTTCGTGCGAGCACACTCTCCTACCGCTTGCCAAAGTTACGGCACGCAAGTGAAATTGAATTCGGGGCTTCCAGAAATGGAAAGGTCAGTTTTTTGGGCCCTTTGGGAGTGCAGCCGATTGTACTTGGCCGCAGCAAGCAATACCAGCAGTGTTTAAACAGCATGATGAGGAAAAGCTTTGCAAGATGGGCTAGATACCCAACGGCTTGTGTGCTAAGTAAACGCAAAGCCGTTTCGCAGCTGGCATCCCCAACACTGAATATCTCAATCCAAGTCTAACCAGTCGCTTACGTTACCAGCTGCAGTATTCGCATGCTACTTGGCGAGGTACACCTGCTATGAACGAGAGTAGAAACCTCACTCAAACTGATTTGGTGAACGGGCGGCAACGAACTCAACGAACCCACGAAACGCCGCATGCGACGAGCACTTATAAGAATTCGGGCTTCCAGCCACAGGCCAGAACCCCAAAAACAGATGATGGATTGCAAAACTTTAGGCTTCACTTAGAAGGACATGATGAGTGGCACAATCGAGCCAAAACCAAAATCCCAAAAGGCAGCGGATGCCAACCCAAGAACCTTCAAAACAATTCACAAAATGCAGCTCTAAGCACTAAACGACATGAAAAGTAACATGCGCTGAACCTTACAAACAAGAACGGATGGCAAAAATGTAGAATACTTAAAGCATGGGAAAACACCCTAGATCACAAAGACTTCTGACACAAAACCTAAGCTGGAAGCAAAGATGAAACGTTGCAGTCCTTGGCCTCTTTTGGACAAAACGATGTAATGACCAACCCTAAACCTTACAAGCAATAATGGAGGGCAAAACCTAATCCGTAAAACGAAACTGATGGATGGCCAGCTGAACCATGACATAAGATGGATAGGAAACCAGAAACCGCCAAAGCAAACAAATGGATTGCAAACCTTGACACACGACGGCTGGCAAACTCTGCCCCTTGAACCTAAAACTAAACCCTAAAAAGAACTGACGCCTCGCACGCTTTGCGCCTAAACACAAATGGATTGCAATTGCGGACAGTCGCCACAGTGTGAATCTCCTCTTTTGCATTAAGAAGCTCCCTGCTGCCATTTTTGCTCATGCGCTGTCTCGCGTGACCCAGCAGTCGCACAATACGACAAGCCAGCTCCCCAGAAGCTTTACACATTCACTGAAAAAGAGATCGCCAGGAGCACTATGCCGGTATAAGGGGGTAGTATATAGCAAAGCACTGATACTTCATAGATTGTATGTGGTAGAATACGGACCATGGGCGGGGAAGAGGGAGGGCCGCTGGGATGCAATCATACATTCATTGGCTTCCGCTGCATGCTGCGTAATTCTCCGGGAAGTCCCAATGAACATTTCCAATTCCAAAAACACCCAACGCGCCTTTCTTCGTGGTCCGACTACTAGATGTTGTCGCGGAGTGCGCTGAGTTTGTTCTGGAACTGTTGTAAGGCAGTGTCTGACATGCAGTAAGCCGTATCATCAACCAAGTACTAGAATTTTCACAGGAGTTCATCTGGCCACCACACAGGGAGAAACGAGGTGACTTCGGTATTGCTCCTGGCTTGGAGGTCGGGGTGGCCCCATGGTTGGGGACGGTCGGACTTGCTTGAGTTTGACTCCGGTTTGGTGGTTGTCGAGCTCGTATACGCCAGAGAAGTGAGCGCTGCCTCGTCGGCAGGTGTACAGGTTTGCCTGCCTTTCATAGATTCGGGGTTATGGGACATTGAATAACCTCACCCTGTTTGGTTCTTGGACAAAAGCTCCGACTCTGTGTGTTTCTGCTTTGGACCCCAGGGTTCTTTGCAAAGAGCCCATCACAGATGATGTCTTTCTCCGCAGTATCGAAATGGGCGATTGTGACCTCTGTCTCTGCAATTCGTTTGGACCGACAGGTGTGGTGGCCCCACGCCTTTTCTATGACAGTAGAAACCTTTTTATCGCAAACGCGCCACTTCTGTCATGTAGATGTTTGCCATTGTAACTGCAGAAGCCAGGACTGTGAGAAATCCTGACGAGTGTTTATACACATGGCCTTGATAGCTTACGTGTTGTCCCTTGATCAGGTACTCCAGTGGGCAAGGACCCAAACTTGTAATTCTTGTTGTAGAACTGTCTTGTCTTGCTGGACAACACAGGCAACAAAGCTCTTGGACGTGCGTCAAAGCCAATTGAATTACGGATCATCGTGTAGAAGTTGCGAACATCTGCTTTGCAAAGAATGTATCCCTCAGAGACCTCCGGATGTTTGATTCATGCCCTCCACGAGATGAATGGAAGATTCCACCACCGTACCAAGTGAAATTGCTTGCGAAGCGCTTGGTGCCTGATTTGGCGAATTTGTTCAGGTCCGTTGCGGTTTCGTAGACGTACTTGTTGATGTTGGGATCTGATGGTGGTTTCCACTCAGACCGTGAAGTGCAGTTTTTGCCAATCCACTCAGACCGTGAAGTGCAGTTTTTTGTCAAGCAAGACTTGTGAGGCTGTCAAGGCCTGTCCTTGAAGAAATGGGCCAAACTCACATTGATACGAAGCGTAGCACGGCCGTGCTTAATGTTTTGGAACGACGAAAAGAAACGATCGATAATGAGTTCGCGACAGTGGCAAAGAAAATGCTGTACAAATCTGGGAATGGCCCTCGAAGTCAAAGCGTGGATGCCGTTCATGGTCAGCCGGCCTTCAAGCTGCACAAGGTTGGGTTAGAAGAGGGGAGATATCAAAATCTGTTCCGCTTGTCCGGCATCAAGAAGAGTGATCTGGAGGGCGATGCCGTCAATGCCTATGTGACTGTCGCTGCTGGTGGCTAGACTTGCCGCCGAAGTTCTGAGTAACCTTTCCCTGTGCCTTAGCCTTACCTTCTGGTTGCCTTTGCCGTTTCATTTCTGCCTCCGTGGTGGCGAGCTTAGCGACATACTGGGGGCAAAGAGCTTGCTGGGAAAGTGACACTTGGAGCTTCCCTGGCATGCCCTTGCATGGCATGCCAGGCCGCTGTTAGAGCATATACCGCAACATGCACAATGTCATGATCAGAAGCTTCGCTGCAGCTGGATATCCTTCGGGCCATTGTCGCGCGTGTTTAACGTCATGCTCAAACTGCTTATGAGTGTTTCATTTATCCATCAATTGTTGTTGAGGAACCCAAGCGGCGAGAATGGACGAGCGAAAGATTGGCACGTCAGATCCGTCTTTATTCCGCCGTCTGAGCTCTTGGACTGTAATGCGAGTTCCTCCATGAGCTGCTGTTAAGCATCTGCTCCATGAGCCTTGGGCTGTCTCTCGAGTTGCTGTACTGAATTCATGTCAAGGCCGGGTGAGGCCGCTATTGCACAGAATGCCGCTGCTCGATCTGCCCTGGGTCTTTTCGCGCCGGGTACCGTGAAGTCGCTGGGTTGGAAGAGAGGAGCACATGGAAGTCGCTGACCAAAGGAAGAACTGCAACTAGTTTCGATCATTTAGGATCTCACTCAGGCCTCCCATGGGGCAGTTGGGCCAAACTCTGTGACAGTGACAGAAGACGTGATCTTGCACATGTTGTTTGAGAGCAATATCTTAGTCACTCTGATATGCCACATGCTTGATGTTTTTGCAAACAGCTTACTGCCAACTGCCTTCCGGCTTCTAGCTGCTCTTCTTGCTTCCTTGCTTCCTTCCCTGCTTCGTTACTTCCTTACTTTCTTTGCTTTTTGGGTCGCTTGCTTCCTTCCCTCCCTGGTTCCCTCCTTCTTGGTTGCCACCTTGTTGCAGTCGCGTGAGGGCCAGGAGAGCGTGCTATAGCCGCCACTCTGATCCATGTGTTACTGTTGCAGCCCACCTGTCTGCTGCGCTTCCACATTGCAAACAAACTCCCTATCATCGAGCTGCAGTGCCGTCGCTGTGGGCACGATGACTGCACATGCACACGGTCGCACGTGATCGTCATATAACTGCCAAGTCCTGTTCCAGGAGTTCCAAGTCTTTCACGTTCAGAGCCAACTTGTCCTGCATATGTCTGCATCGCAAAGAAGTGATGATGGAGAGAAGGCACCGAGGTCCTGAAGGTCTTTCTTTTCGACTTGGAGCTCCCGCAATTCCTGCCACATCGGACTGAATCCAACTCCGAGGGTTACATCCCAAGCATGGAAAGTCCTTTCTGAGCTGCTGTTCTTCTGCAGCTGTGCGCTCCTATCACATTCGACACGTCCAATCTCACAAGCTAAATTGAGCTAGATTCCGTCAGAAACAATGGCGACCGATGCCTGCATGACAATGGACTCGCGCACTGCAGAGGTGTTCTGCTCGTTCAGCTGGTTGAGAGACACGCTCTTGGCAGCCAGTTCTTTCTGCGAGAACTCCTGATCCAGCTACGCAGCAGCACTTCGTTTGACGACAGCTGTTGTAGTAGAAGCAGACGTACAACTCGCCATCTGTTGTCGGGGAACATATGGGAATTCTTCTGAAAAGCTTTGCTGACATGTCGCATCCGGAACAAGACAGAGCAGGGACCTACTTCTATTGTCCTTCTCACTGATGACTCTTTGAAGAGCTTCTTCGGTTTGTCGGATTTCTTTTATATACCTGTGCGGATCACCATACATCATCGCACATGCACGGTGGCTGATGCTGGCCGGGCAAGGCTGGGCCTCTGCTCTCTTTCTAGGAAGCCAGTTGTCGACAGCTTTTCTCTCTCTTCGCCATCGACCTCGAATGTCCATGATCAAGAAGCATAAATCGAGGCCTAGTGCATCCAAGAAGCTCTGCCCTGCTTGTGCTTCGAGGTCTCCAACAGAAGCTTGTCCTCAGCGCAGTTGGGGCGGTCGAGGGTGGAGGGTAAGGGGGGAAGGCACAAGTACTGTCAAACAGTGTGCCGCTCGGTTGCGATGTGCTCTGCGATCTGCTGGTAGAAGACCTTGTCCTCCGGCAGAACCTTCGAGAATAGTCGAACTGAAGCTGTGCAAAATCCAGTGGAAGCTGGCTTCACTCATGTGCCTGCTCCCTCTCCTTCATCATCAGCCGTAGCATCAACGTACTACTGTCCTGGACGACGAGCACCATCGACCGCAATATCAAAGGCAATACAAAATCGATCCTTTGGTGTCCAGTTCGCTTTCGCTTGTGGGCCCTGGCCGCACATACCAGCTGAAACCCTTGTAGTCAGAATGGCCCTGAAGCAGAATCACCTTCTTTGCTGGAGGCAAGGCTTCTGCTTCTGGAGCCTCCGACACACCGAAAACTTCAACAGGAGTGACGAGCAGTCATGTGTAGAGTCGTGTCTCGCCTTGGTCTCTGCTTGTGCTTGGCTCCGGTCCACCTGACCTCCTCAGCTGTCACATATCTCAAAACGTTATGTATAAACTCCTTCGATGCATTGCTGTGCTCCGGGTCCACACTCCAACGAATTCGCGGAAGCTACACAGCTTAAGAAGGGGCTATCGAAAGCCAGTGCAAAAACTGCAAGGCTCAGCGGTGACGGTGACCGCCGAATTCGAAGCCTCTGATGTTGCAGGCATGCTTGTGTCATTGACAAAAGCACCTGACAGGGTTCTGCTTTACCTGAAACTTCAGGGTCCCCATGACTGCACGTGCTTTTGAGAAGTGTGGTTAAATGCTTTCCAAACCCTAAGCTGAGTTTATAGTGTTTAAGGAACAGTAACCCGCCATATTAGACTGGGCTCCTCGGGTGTGTTCTAGTCTCCTTGCGTCCGCAGAGGACATAGAGCTGCAGGTCAAACTAACGGCCTTGCAATGAGGGCCTGACATCAACCTTGAAACCCTTGAAAAGGGGGGGGGCGCGGCGGCCGATATCAAAAAGCCAACCTCTCATGGCGCCACGTTGTTAACCAAATTTTGCCAAGCATCGACCAGTAGCGACAGGCTTTCCTGACGCTTCAAGCAACCGGCCCTCTGAAAACTCTGTACAAAGCCTAGAGTGCCGCTAGGTTTCCAAGGGTGGCTGTCTTAGAATCGGCTGCTGCCTCCAGCTCGCGAGTCCAAGGAACAGTCGCGAGAACTCACTCTAGTGACTCTAGTATCTCATCTTTAGTCCCGGGCCATTTGTGCTCCAGTCGAGTTCGAGCTCGCTTTGTACCTGCGTCACTTCTCCGTGCCTACCTTCGTTGTGCCAGCTTGTGTGCCACAAGATGAAGTGGGAGCCCCATCTTTGGTCCTGGACTATTGGATCTTCCAAGCGCTTGTCTGCTTGCTTGGAGGACATACCGTACACCGTGGGGACGCTGGCTCCATGTTGAGGATGCGGCAGCCCGCAAGGGATGGAGTGAAGTGAGCTCATGCGCCATACTCCAGAACGGATCAATCCACACGGCGATGTAAGGCCGAGTCTGACAGAATCACTGGACAACATGCAGTGTCGATTCACTCTGCGGCGGTCCGACGACGTGAGACGCTGCGTGTGGTACTGTTTCTCATGGTCCCTGCAAGAAACAGACTCGACTTGGCTTCGATGTGGGGCACGCTGCAGAAGCTTTATTCCTTCGAAGCAGAAATGCAACCTCGTGCAGCGTCTCCTCGCCAACCTGCCCGAGCAAGCGCAGTACATCGGGTTCTGCAAAACGACAGCGGACTCATGCAGATCCACCTTGGAACCACTGAGCTGACAATCCAGGACAGTGCTATTGTGCTTCAGGCCTTCACGGGAATGTGGTTACGAGTACCTCCCTCACTGGTTCAGACAGGTGCCTTCTAAAAGTGCAAGACCACCATCAGCACCCAGGTCATTCCAAGACAGGTCCAAGTGCGTGATCTGAAGACCACAGCATGTACAGCACGCGTGCAGGAGAAATCAGCTCAAGCACACACACAGACACAGACACGCACACACACGCACACACATACACACACACACACACACACGCACGCACGCGGAATCTAGGACACGGGCCGTTGTGTTTGATGCTAACATCTCGCCGATGTATTTTGCACCCACATTGTTGACACGATTGTTTCGAAGATCGACATGTCCGACAGTCAGGTTCGACCTGCAGAGGTTCTGACGCAGCGAAAGCCGCTTGGAAAACTAGGGCGCATGTCTTGGTCTTGGTGTCTTGCTTCAGGACATCGCAAAGGGCATTCAAGCCACTGGGATCTTTTCCAATGGCATTCCTTATCCAGAAACGTGTCCGGATTTCCGCGCACCGCCCGCACGGACTGAGGCTGTGGCCATTTCAAATTCAGACTTCGCAAAGATCTGTTGATCTTGATGCCGTTGGCCAGAGCCATGGCCCCTTTGGCCTCCAGCTGACTCCACTGGACTGTCTGAACTTTGGAAGATCGTCAGGCCAAAGCTTGGATATTGTTTCCTCGGAGGTCCAAGTACCTGGCTTCTGCGGCTTTTAAGAAAGCTTGCCCGACTGCTGTTTCGCCCGAGCAGCACACCGTTTTGAGCACATCAAGAATCCGAACAGCAGCAACAGTAACAGCGACCCAGAAAATCAGGCTTGCGCACATGTGAGCTTGTAGATAGTTTGTTTTTTTTCATTAAATGTCAATGCTTCATGCGAGTGCGCTCCCATGCTGCCGACACCTATCCCTTTGCATGTGCCACGAAAGCATTGAATAGCATCACTGCTAGCTGCTACTGTAGCCCTCTGTATCGGCATTGTAAGGATTGCAGTTGGGAGTGTAGTATGTCCCACAAAGCGCGGCTATAATCGAACGGATCTTACTCGGGGTTGTGAGAGATGCCAGCATATGTTTCTTCCCGGCAAGGACACAGCCGTGAATGTTTTCAATGTCAACGCTCTGCGATGGTTCTCCTTGTGGAAAGCCACATTGCAGCATGTTTTGCTTCATGAGCATGCATATTCTCATGCTATACAAATATATTTATTTCTGTACATAGAACACGTATATACATATGTATGTATACATACATATATATATATATACATCTTGATCTTGAGACCCCCACGAATTTCAGCTAAGTTGGAAATCAATGGCAAAACTTCGTGTTGCACCGATGTGCCGACGCACCAATGTCCCGGATATCGATGGCAACGATTCGGAAATGCTGTGATTTCCCAAAATGTCGGCACAGCGATACCTGTCTCCCTACTTAAGACCCTGAACCTTGCACTTCGTTCCTACACCCCCACCAAACCAATAGCCCAAATCACACAAAACCCTTAACCGCTCAGCCCCAAAGGACGAAGAATCTCTTTCCTATCCCATCCTCCAGCAAGCCTAAACCCTAAAAACGAACGCTGTGAAGACAGAAACTGAGCGGCGAGCACAATGAACTCTCCCTAAAGTCGCCACAAATGCACGGGGCCCTCTCTACAATACGCGCAGCTTGCACAAATCCTAAACGGGACAGGTGCCCCCTAAACACTAAAATACCCGGTGCTTTCCTCAAAAAAGGTTGAAGCACAACCAGTTTACACATAGCCACTGCATTCAGTACAAAAAGCGCATGCAGGAAGGGCTCTACTTGCTGTGTCGGTGCATATGCTAAGTCACGCTAAGCACCATGTTTGGTCATTCAGTTGGTGAACAGGAGTTCTGCGCTGAAACAGATCTCTGCTCACATTACATAGGTTTCCGGATTCTTCAAGGCACTTCGACATACGTGTGCATCTGTCTTTTTGTACATGCGTCTACCCATCCATCCATCCGTCCGTCCGTCTGTCCCTGCGTGCGCGCGTGCGTGAATGCGTGCGTGCACGCGTCTGCATGGATATATGATACATTCATAGATGAATACATGCATACATGCATACGTACATATGCATACAGACATAAATACATTCAAACAAACATACATACATTCATATACATGCATATACATACACATACACATACACGTATACATACGCATACACATACACGTATACATACACATACACATACACATACACATACACATACACATACACATACACATACACATACACATACACATACACATACACATACACATACACACATGAACATCCACATACACACATACACATTCACATACACATTCACATACACATACACATACACATACACACACACATACACATACACACACATTCACACCTGCATACACATACACATAAACATATACATACACATACTTTATACATATATGTACACATACATATACATATTATACAACATGCTGATACAGTATCATTCATTTGTAGCTTATTGAATAATTGCAGTCATATGCTGAATTATATTAATACCTAAAATTCCATATGATATTATACTGTCCTATGTTAAACTGTATAACATACTACTATACTGTACTATGCTATGCTATGCTATGCTATACTACAGTACGTCGTAGTATAGTATTATATTACAGCAGCATATTACATGTTGTTATACTATACTTTTGTATTGTATTGTACTATACTACGATATTGCAGCTTAGACTGTATAATATAATATTATATTTCCCTTTTGCATATTAAATTTCACTGGGCTTTAATGTCTTGTGTTATATATTATCGTCGATGGTACCATATCTTCTTTCCCATTCTGGAAGTGGCTGAAAGCACAGAGCCAACACCTGAACGCGACAACTCTCGTCAAGAACCGATCCTTTTCATAACAGCCTCAGGTGCATAAACTCTACCCGACGGGCACTTCACAAAGGGATTGTCCCGCAGGAACTTCGACACCTGTCAACGAGCAGCTGTTTCGGGCACATGGTACTTCTGAATGAAAATGTACAGCATCCGACCTCCACGATGCCTTCATCCGAGATGGACGCGTACGCCAAGCTCAAGGTGGGCGACTGTCAGGAAGTCTCTAGGTCGATGTGCTTCGATGCTTCTGCTCTCTTGCTCGCCTCTCTATTAGCGTCCAAGTGGTTCAGCAGTGCGGGAATGTTGTTCATTGCCTTGGAACAGCTTCATCTCTTCACATCACATGCTCTCAAAATTTTTGTGATCTGTCACAGGGCCCCGGCATCGCACTGCACTGGTCCACTGCATGGCCCTTGTGTCCCGCTCGCTTCGAGCCAACACCGGGATTTGAACACGCAGATGTCGAAGGTGGACCCGTGGGTTCCGGCGTCCCAGCGAAATATTGAAGCCAGGGAGTCGCGAATCGCCCTAGCTCGCTTTTGAATACACATGCAAGCACCAAATAAAATTCAGATACAACATAGATATCTCTCCCTAAAAGGCTTTGCTTCAATGCCTGAGAACTATATATAGCACGTTGCAAGATGCTCCCAAGATCTATTGGATTGTATACTGTATACTGTGAAACGACAGACACATCCCTCTCCAGGATGGCCGGTGAAACACCCTTAAGGCCAGGCAGGGGGAAAAGCGCAGAAGTCGCCCATCAACGCATCCTCGGGGTACACAGCAGGAATGCAGCAGGCAGTGAAATCCAGCCGCACCTCAAAAGGCCGTCTCCATTTGAGGTGCACTTGGCTGAGTTCGACTGAGTGGATCTGGAAACATGTTGGCACCTTTCGCAAAAGCTGTGGCAGGGAACTCGAGCCAACCACAGCCGCTGGGATGCTGGCCCCATGTCCCAGACCAGCCCGCGCTCATCCCTGGAAATCGGACGTACGAGTGTCATTCGGGTACAACAAACGGCCACCAAGCCTCCACCCTTGTTGTCCTCGATTGGCTCGTTAATCACAGCGAGAGGCTTGTCTCTCCTGGAACCACCGGACCGGACTGCGCACAAGAATTGAAATCCTCTCGACACAATCCTGGACTCAGTTGTGAGGATGTTGTAGTAGAGCTTCACCTGCCACTCAGGCCGCTTCCACACCGAAAACCCGAAACTACCTCGAATGGGCTTCGGCTTCGGCCCTCCGTTTTCCGAGGCACGCACGTTGTTCTCATCGATGAACTCTACCCAGGGACTCCTTGCCTGCGACGCTTTCCGAACACCATGACTAAGATGTGCTCATGGTCTTGCCTTGGCCAGGATTTGAGCAGCTCCAGTGCCCATAGCAGGTGTGGCTTCTGGGAGCTGGTGCGTCTGCGAATTGAAAGATCTGAGGATGATGGGAATATGATTCCTTCGTCCACCACGCACGTGCCACTCCTGTGCACCAGATGCAACGTTACGTCCTGTAACCGATGATACAACAGTACTACAAAAAATACCTTGCATCCCGAGTCGCCTGGAAACAATCTCTGCAGTACAAGTCAGCACACTGCACGCAGTGGAAGAGTGCGATGCTTTCCACACATTCTGCGCACATGCCCATTTCAACCTGGAGCGGTTCAGAGTGCAACAAGATCACAAGGACACAGGCACGGAATCCGTGATCCGACTGATTCCAAGGCTATCGCCCACGTGCGTCTGTGGTTTTGCCTTCGGCCTCTGCTGTGCAGTCTGTCCTCGGACCCATCAAGATGCGATTGACTAACCAGCTTCCCAGCTCCGAGGTCTGTTTTTCCCCGACAGCATGAGCTCCGCGGAAACAAGATTTGGGGCAGATTGGGGCAAGGCCTGGTTCCGGAGAGGTTCCTGGAAGGTTCCCGGTTCCGGGACAGGTTCTGGGCAGGTTTCGTGAGAGGTTCCGGGGGCGAGGTTTCGGGCAGGTCCCGAAGCGGGATCCAGGTTCCAGCGCTGTGCAGAGCTTCCGGAACCTCAGGGCAGGTTCCGGGAGTTCCGGGCAGGTTCAAGGGTGAGGTTCTGGACAGGTTCTGAAGCGGGTTCCAGGTGAACTTGGATCCCGTCCTACCCGAAATCGTACTGCAAATTTCCCGAAAAATGCAAATACATTTAGGCCACGCAACTGGCCGGTTCAACAAATCTGGAGCTCAATGCGGTCCCTAAACCCGAAAATCGTACTGCAAACGCTTCAATTCAATTTCCAGAGCACCACCATGGAAACGTATTTAGAACTGTTTCAGCTTTGCTGATGTTCCTCGCCCCAGTCCCCGAACTCAAGTGAGCTCCCGAACTTCCGACCAAGCCCAAATGCAGTTTCCGAGGCCTGCTAAACGAATTTGGTCGTGGATGCAACAAAGCTCAATACCGCCCCTACACCTGAAAGTCGCACTGCCACTGCTTTTATTTGGTTTCCAGGGCTCCAATCCAAAAACACACTTTTCCTGCATGCTTGGAAAACGCATTTCGAGCTGTTTCGGCTTTTCTGGTGCTGTCCCTAAACCCGAAAATCGTAGTGCAAATGCTTCAGTTTAGTTTCCAGGGCTCCAAAAATGCATTTGTCAAGCCTTGGAAGCACATTCAGAGTTGTTTCAGCTTTGCTTGTGCCCTAGTCTCCGAACTCAAACCGAGCTCCCGAAGCCTCCGACCAAGCCTAAATGCCATGGCCTGCCAAACACATTTGGCCTTGGTCTCAACAGATCTGGAGCTCAATGCCTGAATGCGTTCGTTTGGTTTCCAATTGCTGCGCGAATTTGGCCCTGGTTTCAACAAATCTGGAGCTCGATGCGGTCCCCACACCCGAACATGCACCCACCCATAAACTGCTGAATCAGAATCTTGTGTTTAATTCCCGACCGGGCATAGACAACCCATCTGTAGCTCTGTCAACTTTTCTGGTGCCCTATAATGTGAGCCCAACGGCAGCCATTCCGCTGTTGGGGATGTTCAATGGGATTCTTATCGTCTAAGGCTGGGGCAAAGCAGCCCTGGCAGAAGAAGTCTTTGCACTGATCGCAGAAGAGCACGGCGTCCCGCTCGTCACACTGGACCTTGGTCCACACCATTGCGGAACGCAATGCAAGGACACTGCAACTTGCTGAACTCGTGCATGGCAAAACACTGGTGCCTGACTGGTGCAAGGGGCCGTATGGCTTAGAGCAGACCAGCCGTGCGATGAGGTTAATCCCAAAATCCCCCCACGACAGGGCCGACCCAACCCCATCCAAACAGCATATTGTGGCTCGCAATGGCTCGCAGTCCGGCCCTTGCCTGGATTTAAAGACCCAGCTTTTCTTTGCTTTAACACGTTCTCATAGCTTGTTCCCAAGATGCCGCGCATGATCCATCTATCAGCAAGGAAGCCCGAGTCCGAGTCGATCTGCACAATCTAATTGAGAGCTTCCAAATTCTCTCGGGACCACCGCTAGTTCCCAGATCTGACCTCATATAAATGTCCTCTTGCTATGTTACAGTGCTGCAGCTCCACCCGGCCCCACCATGTTCAACGGTGCATGGTTTCTGCATGTGCTTCTCGGCTTCCTGGAAGATGATGATCTCGCAAACGCGGTCGTTCTGCTCCCCCAGAATCGGGGAAGAGCGCTCCCTTCATCACGATGTTACCGTTCGAAGCTGAAATCCGCCGCGAAACGTCCAATTTTACACCTTGTAGGTCTCACGCGAGACTTTGTGGGGTCCTCGTTCGGCCGCGATCTGCTTCGCAGCACGAAGATAAGGTTGCAAGTCTTCGGGAAACGGAAAGCCTGCTTGCTTCCTTTGCAATCTTTTTGCCCCACTCTTCCAGACCGTGCAACCGCGATTAACTCGGCTGTTTACTGAACTTTTTTGCGTGCATCCATGCAGCTTTCAAAATGCTTTCGGCGACCTAAGGCGAGCTTCAAAAAGCGAGCCACTGGCCTGCCGCGTCCCTCGCACAAGAGGCAGGTTGAATCCTCTGCACTGAGGGATGGACGCAGATCTTCATCTTTGCGACCCTTTTCTCTTCTATGCTCATTGCTTGCTCATACTGGCCTCGGTGGCAAGTAGGAGTCAACTCACGCAAGGGGGATCACGTTGCAGTTGCAAGTGCAACATGCCCAGCCCCAGACTGACCAAATCTCTGTAACGGTGCATGAGGTTCCGGAAGTCCTCAACATCCTGGTACCATGAAATCTACTCACCTAATCTTTCACCAGCACGGCGGTACAAGAGGCTAGCAAATTACATGGAGCCTTGACTTTGCGCTTCTCTTTGACGCAATTTCCATAATGCCGCAAGGCACGTTTCAACACCTCAGCTGAACTGAAACCTAAATCAAACCAGCGTAAGACACACGTGCACGTTCCACTCCGATTGCCATCGGGGCGCATGTACCAGGTACGGCTCATTTTTGATATCGACACCAAATATTCGAGCCATTTCAATGACCTGGTCCGATGCAAAAACAACTTCAGATGCAAAACTGCTTCGGCAAGACTGGCAGTATGCTACTGTCACCCTAGTATGAACAAACAGGCCATGCGAACAGGAAGAAGCCGGGTCAAACCCATAACTTCGAAGGAAGCACGAGTGGTGTGATGCAAGTTCAGACAAGCAAGGCACCACAATGCGGCTTAGCTATCGGTCCGATTAATGGCGAGAATGAGCTTTGGGAAATTCAATCTCGCATCTGGCCTTTCCCTCCGAAGCCAAACTCCGGTTCTCCGCAGGAACTCTGCATGTGTGCTTTCTGCTAGCCGGCATTGGGAATCTCGCTGTCCGCTGCAGACAGTCTGGTTGCGACCAAAGGGGACCCTGCCGACAACGAAGCGTGAACTCGTAACGAGACCGTAAGTCGTGGCAGGGCTGCGTACTGTGATGCTGCGCCCTTGCGGCCTCGAAATGTATGCATGCAGCAGAGAATTTTGCCTTGCAGCTTTCACATGGGCCTTGTGGACGATGATGCGGATTTGCAAAGGCGGTAGTTAGCTCGTTCGAAACGCTGTTCACCGGATCGGGCCCCGAACAGAGAGCCAAGTATCAGATAACGGGGCCCTAAACCCTAAAACCACCAAGCCCTAAACGCCTAGAAGCCGTTGCGGGCAGCAATAAAGTTTTGGCCGATGTCTGAAAGCCTTGCATCAGAATCTCGTCGTCGTCGGCAGTGTCCCGATGCCTCTGGCACTATATCGACGGCAGAACGCTGCATTTTGAAGCCCCTCTGTCAGTTTGCCCATTCACACGGCTGGCGCCGACAAAGAATACACACGGCTGGTGCTCATGGGGATCAAAAGCTAGAATGCCAAGAACACGCTCCAGTTCCTGCTCACATATGACATAGCCTCGACATGGAGTTGGATGTGGGATTGATCCATCCTCGAGACGGATGCTACCTGCGATTGAATCCATTTTGAAGCCTCCTCAAGGCTCAGCGGGTGGACCGACTAAGCGATTCAGAAACAGCGCGAAGGTCGGACGACAAAAAAAGGGATACGAGGAAGGCGTGAAGCACGCGAGGTACGTGCGATGATCCTGTACTTCTCTTTGTCTTACTTGAGTAGAAGGAACACTGCTGCTGGAACTGGATCGTGACGGAGTCTGAAAGCGAGATCCACAAGGCATCTGCATTGTCAACGGTCTCCACGAGAGGGTACTCACCAGAAGCCTGAAAAATCCATGAGGCAATGCAGTCGAAGAATGATTCAAATGTACAGCTGCTGGTCCCGCCTCAGCCTCCCATGTGAAGATGTTGGATAGAAGAAACTCTATCCTGGCAAGAATGGCAGTCTCTTTGACATGACGTTCAAGCCATGCACAGCACCGACCTGAACTCCATAATGGACTTCCAGTGCGGCACTGGCTTCTGGTTTCGTGCGACCTACGTCAAGAGCAGAGCTCATCTTGTCAGAAAGCTGTTTGGAGTAGTAGCAACTCATGGCTTCTCCGTGGTCACGTTTTGAAAACGCATTCCCGCCATGGCGTTTTGGCGAGAAAGCATGCTGCGACTGGCTGTCTGACTGCATTGAACATGGTGAGCATAGCGTGTGTTGTGTGAACCTAGAGGCATTTCGAAAAAATCATGATAAACAACCCATGTGACACCAGCCCGGAAAAGGGGATGAGAGGGAGTAGCAACGGGGCGCACCTGCAGCATCTTCCGGAACTTGTCGTAGTGGGGATGCCTGCAGAGTTTTGGTCTCTGCATAGGAACTCTTGACGACAGCCAAAGGCACACCGCAACATGGACAAAGACAGTATGTGCCAACAAGTGGCTTCCAGGTAGCTTCGCTGGTGCGCTCATCCACCCAGTAGACCATGCCATCCTTGCATGGCATTTAGGCTCAAACTTCACAGCTCTTATCGATTTCTCAACAAAGCAGACCTTCACGTATTGTGCGGAGCTCGGAGGCAAGGGCTCTTCCTGCAGCCGGTGGGCTAAACAGCTTCACATTCTCCAATACTAACATATCACAGCATGCTCCCTCCTTGAACGCAGTGAAAATCCAAAGGATGTTCTCGTCTGTGGCAGGGTCCACACCCAAATATCTCATGTGTTCCTCGTAGCAGCACTGGCACGCACGAGATGCGGCAACACACTTTATTGTCAGCCCCTCCTGTAGGTCCGGCTCAATGCCATCTGCACAGTAGAGAATACCTAAGCGGACTAGAAGTCAATCCACGCTCCTCTAAAGTAATTCAGGTGCTGCCGCCAGAGATCGCTAAGCCCAGCACCATCCACGATGGTTTTTTGATCAGTGCCCTGCTTCAATGCCATCTGAACCTGCCACACGGCCGGCTGAAAGCGTGGTGCTTGATGACTTGAGTCTGCAAGCGAATATTGGCGATTGACCAGAAACTCAAGCTAACTCAAGTTACGGTTTGGGGTTCCTGGCCTAGTTTGGGACCTGACCCCCTGCGCTCAGCCCTGATCTGCCATCCCCGTCCGTCCTCGTCCCTTGTAACGCCGAAAGTCCTCCAGGGTCCTGCTGTTGGGCTGGTCTTACCAAGATACTGCACAGCTTGGCAGTGACTTTGCTCCTTGGTTGAACAGCCTCATGTCTCGATCTTCCTTGCCCTCGATGACGGTGAGGAACTGCAAGGCGAACGTTTATGTGATGCTGCGACTCGCATGTCTTCAGGACCTGGTCCCAGATCTCTGCAATGTTGGCGTTCCACTCAAAGACTGTGAAGTCCTCTGGAGTCGGACCTCCCAGGGCAAACGGCACCTCAAAGCTCGAGAAGCCTCGAGCTCCCGGCTCTGCGGCAGGTAGACAATCTGAAACTCTGGCCCAAAGGTTCCCTGGCCGAAGAGTCTTGTTGTGCAGTGCAATTTCCGTGAAATTCCTGCGACCTGGCGGGTCATGAAGACGATCTCATCTTCTTCCCACTTGATGATGACCTGCAATCAGCGAAACTCGTCAGCAGATATGGCAGCAGTTCTGTGCTTCTCTGCCCGCGCGCCTTGAAGCCGACGGGAATGTCGTACTTGCCCTCTATCTTGTACCTCACGGCGACAAGACGATGTGGAGCTGTTTTAGCGTCTGTGAGCTTCCGAGGCCAAGGCTTCGATGGGTTTGGACCCTGGTACTTCAGCCCGAAGGACATCACAAGCAAGGGCCGGTCCTGAGCGAAGCGAACGAATGCTTCTGTTCAATGGCACTTTGTTGCGCTTGCATGTGCCATGGCGAGGCCCTGTCATCTGCGATGATGAGGTGTCCCTCCTGCCGCCGCCTCTCCACGCTGTGACTAGACTCGCCAAGACCCGCTGCCCTCCACAAAGAAGGGGTGTCACAAAAAAGGAAAAAGAGGAGCAGAGCGTCTTGCTTCCAAATCCGAACGCCAGAGCGCAAACTTAAAACCCAAAATCAGAAGCACAAAAAGGCACGAGCACGATGCAGCAGGCAGAAAGAATGCCTAGCGAGGCCTAGGGAGGCGTAGCGAGATCTAGCGAGCTTTACGAGGCCAACCGCACTCGGCCTGAAGTCTTGGAGGCCTTCGGTCTGGTTCACGATATTGGCCTGAGAGGAACTCACATCATGCGCTCGCATGGAGTTCTCACGACCTCGTGCCTGATCGAAGTAGCCGCCGGTAAAAATTTCCGGCGGCCTTTCCTCGTACATGTCCATGATGACAAACCTGCAAATCTAGCAGCAATTCAATTCAGCGATTGGTAGGGCCTTGGTGGTCGCGCCTCGAGGGGCTAGAACCAGCCAGAGGAAACTAATGGGTGAGACATCTTTGTGGCTGTTGAGCCACGGATGATTGCACAACCTCACTGCAGCACGAGGCAGGGCTCACTGGACGCTGCGACGCTCATCCAAGACCGTGCATCAGATCCACATACTGGCAAGCAACAGGGTTCAAAATCGACCGCTAGCCATAGCTTCTCATGCGAACCGTTGGTCACGCACTTCTGTGGAAATCCGTCATGTCACCCTCGCAGCTCCACAATATCTTTTGTTTTCTCAGCCGAGCCGGTTGGTGCCTCAATTGGGCACGCGGGCTCGTGTCTGCCGAGTCCGTCGCATTCTTGTCAGCGCAGACCTTGAAATCGAGAGAGGAGAGCAATCACACGAAAGGCCATTCGAATTCACAGGTTGCAGATATACAGCTTTACCCAGAAGCTGAATTAAGTTCATCAGGACCCATGACTCATGAGAGAAACCAACCTCCACGCGCCACAGCCAATACCCATGCCTTCAGCTGGGCAAACTAAGCTGTTACTTCGAAGCAATCACAAAGAGTGAGAGAGAGACAGCCTAGATCATGCATGTCCGTTGCTTGGACGATCATGCCGCACATAGCCACATAGCTGACAGTCTAGTTGGAGGCTTGCTGTCCACCAGTGTGCCTTGAGACCACCGCTGCGACGAACTTCAGCAGTGCAGCCATCTAGCTCGTCTGCGAACCTTTGGCAAAAAGGTTTGGCCGAGATCGACACAGAACGCCAGGGAAGCACACAGATGCCATGAATGCACGCACAGACGCAGATACGTGCTCCAACGCGCCGAGACAGACACTGGTCGGTAGTTAGGTAGGTAGGTAGG